TCGATAACTTACTCCGTTTCCAAGCAATCGATAAAAATCGATATCGATATCCTGTTTTTTTGGGCAATTTCGGTAAATAATAAGAGCTAGAGTCACCAAACTTGACATATAGCTTCTAAAATAGAATATATGCATTTGATGTTGGAAGAAGAAGGTTCAGGGTATCCCCTAGTCGGGAGTTCCCGACTAGAACCTCTTACTTGTTTGGTTTGAGCTCGTGAACAATCATGTGTGGAGCCCAAAATTAGGGATTATAATTGATTGGCAACATATCATGAAACATTTATATTGAATGATAATATTTCACGAGAGGTGGAGAAATTAAATTTGGTTATTGACACGCTAGCAGAAGATTTGCTAGCAATATAGGCTGCCAATGACTCAGAAGTGGTGTCAGACAAAAGTCGAGTTACAAAAACTTGCCTACGAGGGGCAACAACCATTGAAGTAGGAGCTGAAGGGGCTGCAAGTAATACAGGAGTTGGAGGAGCTAAAGAGGCACCATGATTGTTTTTAACATAATGTTAATGACAACATTGGAGATAGATCCAAGTTGCAAGGCAGGGACAAAATAGCCGTAGGTGTCTGAACAGACGTAGAGGGCAACTGCAAAAATTAAGGCTCCAACCGGCGATTGGTTGTATTTGCCAAGCCGAACGAATTTGTATTTGCCAAGCAACTCAAAACTCGAGTCAAAATTTCTCGAGAGCTGCTTAGCCACGTTATTAAGAATTGATTACTCACCGAGTCATACATTCTGGAGAAATCAATTTGCTTGTCGATGCATTCTGGCACCACCAACGCAAGCCTCCGCAGCCCTTCTTGGCAATTGAATTGTCGCAATCACTCCCTGCACTTTTAGCATGCATTATATTCTCACACAGCCAGCAATTAACAAATTGAGGCAATGAAAAAACATTAGCCTGCTTGAACGTGCAAGGTTTCTTACAGCACGACATAATTATTACAAACGTATGCAAGTTGCGAGAGCGCCTGAGCAAAACGAAAACGATGCACAAAAATGGAGCAAGTAAACGCTCAAGAAATAACTATTTGTACACAAACAAATTGTTTGAAGCGAAAAGCAACAGCAAAAATTTGCGAGAGCGCGATGTACAAGCTGAAATATGCACCAGCGAACACATGCACAAACAAATGAATGCACAAATGAGCACCAAAGCAAAAGAATCAAAACAGGCAAAAACAACAACACGGATAACACTTTGCACAATTTATAAAAGCTTTTTAAATAAAGTTTCAAACATGCAAAATTTAGAAATAGCAGGATTAAAGCTCAAATATATAAAAATCTTGGAGCACAAGTAAAGCACGTCAATCGCTCTCAACTAAAAACTCTCTCTTCTTCTCTCTCTTTCTTCTTTGTGGTCTTAAAACACACTGATGCTGAATATAGTAGTGTGGAGTACTTGAAATCTGAACATATCTTTCAGACATGCGACCTAAAGTTAAATATTCCTTCATGAATTCCAAGGACATACGCTTAAGCTCGGGATTTTGAAACAATCGCCTTCAAGCGACAAAAACGTTGCTTAGCAACCTCGAAGGAGTTACCAAGCGGATTGGGATCTGATTTAAAGGGCAGTCTTACTTTAAATCGACCTGAAGGCAACATTTCCAAATTATCTTGAAAGTGGCTCTCACATAACTGCTGTTCAACTGTTCGGACCTTTTTGGCTGAAAGCAACTCTTCCGACGACCAAAATTTCTGCAATGTTTTGTCTATCGAGGTATAAGACTCTTCTTGGCAACCCAGATTAACAGCATGAGTCTTCTTAGGACTTGACGGTGTGTAACACCCTGATACAATCCAGCGAACAAGTGCAGAATCGGACAATTCGGACCTTGTTTAGTTTGACCGACAGACAGAAGGTCAAAGAACGTCTCAGCTGCGATGAGCATATCGATCTTCTGTGGCTTATGAAAATATGGATCAGCCATTTACAGGTTCTCAGGGTTTTTTCATCCGCTGACATTGACTGTATGGTCAGGCTGGTATCCCGAAATTGTCTAACGAGAACTCGTATTGCATTGAGCAATCCTAATTAGGTTGATATTGGCCTCTTCTCAACGCAGCTGCAATCGCTGTGCTACCTCGTCTGTTATTAAATTAATTTGTGATCCAGAATCGAGTAAAGCTTTAGCCAAAACGAACTCGTCACTTCTCGTTTTATCGCTATCGACTGCAGTAGCTAGGATTACAATATCAGACACATTCATATGCATAGCATAGCATAGCATGTCGGTGGTTGATCTGTCTGTTGTGCGGAGTCAAGGGGTGGAATTAATGCTCGAGTATTAGAAACGGCAGAGTCTCTATGCAACAGTGTGTTATGAGGACGACTGCATACTCTGCACTTGTTTGCTTACATTTGGCAACAGTATACCCCTACAGAAGGCAATTGATGCATAAAGAAGCCGCATTAGCGAACTCAAGCCGCTGCTGTAATGATAACGCGGCATATCTTGAGCAATTCAATATCGAGTGGCCTTCGGAACCGCAATATACAAATTTTGGGTCACTTATTCGTTTCTTACATTAGCAACAGAACACGAAAACGATCCTCGATTATTGTTTTTGGCTTCGGGCCATCGGACAAAGATTTAGCTGATTCTTCAGCAGAAAGGTGTTATTATCTTCGATTCAAGGCTGTTTCACAATTACTCCATAGTGGAATGATCTAGTTGATCATCCCATTTTCGTCTAGTCATTGGGTCAACTTTGTTCACAGCGAGGTGAATAAGAATCGCGATAGAAATCTTTTTGTCATCACCTATTGACAGGAGCGAACCATCGATGTGAGAGACAGTGTCAATTGCATTATTTTTGACAGGCTAAAGAGAGCTAAAATATTTTCATTAAATATTAGAAATTCATGGTCGTATACTCACTTTAGGCTGTCCAATGCTTTTTAATAAGTGTCCTTGGTGACACGAAACGCTCTAACAGTGCCTAGAACTTCACCAGAGAGACATGAGATCAGGTGATTGAATTCTCTATGCTCGGGATCGCATGATCGTTATGAACAAGAGTTTTGAATAGGCTAATAAAATTCTTAACCTCGGAGTATTTTCCACTAAACTTGAGAAGTGCCAGATGCGAGCCGCAACGGGCATGCCTGTAGGCGTTGCAGACTTAATGTCTTGATAACGGACCTTAGACGAGCCTTTGTCGTTATACAAATAGTTTCTACTCGAGACTGATAATTTAATGCTGTATCTATATGAGAGGCCAGCATTTCGAATCTACATTCTAACTCTGTAGATTCTATGTTTAATTTACCATTTATTATTTGGTTATTATTGCGTTACTTTTGTGAATCGTCAAAACTTTCCTTAGAATCCTTATTTGACTCTAAATTCGATTTAATAAATGTTAATTTAAATTAAAATCGAATTTGCCAAACTAATTTAAAAAACTGATATGTTGATCAATAAAGCGTAGAGGAGGAAAATGCGTACAAAAACAATTGCACAGCCACCGTTAAGTACAAAGCGGAAAGAAAATAAACGGGCTGCAGCTGGCTTGTATACAACCGCTTGGTCTCGGACAACTGTATATATAATTCGTAATAATTATGAAGTAGAGATCCCAGAAGAATACGAAATAGCCGACGATGGTAATTTTTTTAGACGAAGTCCATCCTCATAGACACCGGGTTAAATAAAAATTACGTTAAACCTTTACTCATTCGGGCACTCATACCGATGAAATATGTTTCGCTGCAAAATGAATGGGAGGCAAGACCAACATTGCTCATTTCGCAAATATCGATATTTTTGTCAACGGCATGGGTAAACTAAAATTTTTTCTTCTGTCTGAGCTAGGAACCTTTAATGGTATCATAGGTCACGACACTACGAAAAATCGAAAAACTATAATAAAAACACACGGAAATTATTTCACTTTATTAATAAAAATACAATAACGAAACAAAAGAACTATGTATGGAACACATAACCAACATACAACTTACACATTTCGATAACAACACAAGCCAATCAAATAGAAGAAACAGTTAAAGAAGGCGCAGGTCTATTTGGATAACCTGATAAAAAGCTTACCTTCGAACGATAAAATGAAAATTACGAGCTCCTTTATAAGCCACGCAACACCAACATAGCTGCCGATCTCTTATCGACACCCCCTCAAGCCAATTCAAATTCGTTCACTCCAACTACTTATGAATAGTAACGAAAGCTCTGCCGTAAATTTAAAACATTCAGTAGAAATTGCCATTAATAGCTTTAAAAAGCAAATATTCCTTAAAATTTACGAAAGTCAAACCAATTTAAAATAATATTTCCGACTTACCACTGACATATAATTAAAGAATAAAATAAAAAAAAAAATTTTTTTCTCGACTGAACTACAAAGTACGCTTTACACACATTGTATTATAGTAGAAGATATAACGAACGAGCAGGACCAGCAAGATATCGTAATAAAATGAAAATGGAGTTAAAATTATTCATTATTCATTCAATCTGTTGACGCCACAAGTTGATATAGTATTTACATTTCTTGGAATGTGTGCTTGAATAACTATAGATATTGTAGATCGATATATTGTACATTGAACTGTAATCAGTTATTCAGTAAAAGAGTTGAAGCGGAGCTGATGTACATTTTTACTGGGGGTGGGGGGGAGGATTGTCCGAACAATTATTAACTTCAACGCTATCTGCAGCAAGATCTTCGAACCATTGCGTGATTCGATGTTCTTATCTGTGAGCCAAGAGTAGCGGGTCTTTAAATATGTTACGGAACTGCTTGTTTCTCAGTGGGCCGCGCCGGCTGGCTCATCGGATTCTCTGGGTGTGGTCCCATCCCTGGCCCGCAGTCCGCACAATCGATAACAACAAAGCTACACGTCTGTAGCAAAACAGACTCACACAACACTACTCAAAATGAACCGCATAATCGATAACAAATATTCGGAACTACTAACTCATGAACAAAATACACAGCTGTAACAACTATGAAAATGTAAACAACAAAGGTAAGACACTCAATATAAATTAACAAAAAACACTATTTATCCACCTTACTCTTCCAGATCGGGCCCCGGTTCCGGACCCAGCGTACCCGCCCTACCATGAGACGATCACCTCCACTCGTCTCCCTCATTTTGGCCACTAAATGGCCTATATTAGCCCGTGTCGGCCATACTGCCCACTCTCCCCAACAATATTATTTTAGCCGGACATGATTTCTTTCACTAGGTGCGTATAATTGGTTGCGTTTTCTTAAAATGTATAACAATTATAATCATTGCTTATGGCATTTATCTTGCAGCTGTTTAGGATCTCATGCAAGCGGATAATTCATTAACTTCACAGGTGCGTATAATGGTTTGTGTATTCTTATAATTATTGGCATTAATATTTCTTTTATTTCTTTCCAATTCGCACGAGGTCTCTATTCAGGTAAATTCGTATTCATGCACGTGAACATTTCTTCTCCAGGTGCGTATTACTGTTGCATATATTTATACTAATTGACAAAGTGCATTAATTCCTAAATTTTTCTCTTATCTTATAGAATTTATTTTTTTATTTTTTTACAACACTGAATGGAACAGGCGACGAAATACTACAAGGATATTGTTAGTCGCCGCAATAGAAACGCGCAAGGAGGCACTTTAGAGGCAATCGTTGCGCCGATTTAGGAACAATGGCCCACCCAATTACTTAAAACTGGGTATGTCACTTATTATGTATTGTATGTATTAAATCGCTTAATTCTACCTTACCCTACCTAAAGAGCTCTCTGGGGGTGGTAAGGGGCGATATAAATGCGTAAATTCAAATTAGGTAAGTATGTGAGCATAGTTCGCGCAAGTGTTAATTTTAGATTTTTATATTTTACAGGCGCAGATGCATCACCTTTGGAGTTTCCCTCACCGTTCGCACTCTAAAGTGAAGCTCGGCGTAAGTGCCTATGTATGTATAAATATATTTTATAACTACAAATTAACTAAATTTACGATAAAAAAAAAATCTACTCCTCTTCAGGGAGTGCAATTAGGAGTCTTCTTCTGACTCTGCCAGGGGCTCGAACGAGGATGGGCAAAAAAATGGAACGGACTCACTCGGTGGATGTGGGCGGGGTCTCGCCTGTGGCCGCTTCTTCGTCGTTGGAGCCCGGTCGTTGGTGGCTCGTCTCGTCGCCTTCAGGTTTGCGCCGACGCTTGCTGGCGGCGTCGCGGATATGGCTGGTTTGCGCCGCTGAACTGAATCCTGGCCTTTGAATGTTTCGTGGGCCTCTCTGGTGCGCGAGCTGGTCTCCTTGGTGCCGGAGCCGTTAATTTTTGGCTTATTTGGTTCGTCTCTCGTCGCACTTAAGTTTTAAGTCTCTTTTAATTTTTTATTATATTTTTTTTGTGACTCGAGCGGTTTGATTTAGATATATTTATTAAATGGCAAAAAAAACACAAAACCAAAACTTTTATTTGTCTGTTAAGTCATTTGTATTACGCGCCGGCTTAATTTGCAGAAGGGAAAAAAATTCGAGTCTTTTGAGCAGATATGCAATATACAACTTTTATGCTCACTTCGAGCTGGCACGTCCGCCGTTAACCGCTGAACAAATCGCACTCCCTCCATTTTGGGCAGCCACACCATCGGTGCCGAATTTCGGCACACGCATACATTTGCGAGGCGGGCACCGTTGCTGCTCATCTGCACAGCTGCATTTTTTTGGGTCAACGGCCCAAATGAAGGCCAAGGGCATATCCAAGGGCATGCGATCCACTCTCCTCATATTCTCTTTAAGAGCGAACCGGGCGGCCAATAGCAATCGTCGCTTTTGGCGCCGTGGATCGCATGTCTGGCGTTGCCACCCTTCAAAAATTTGGGCTCCGCCGTGGGCCCAGCTTCACCCCGCATACTCCGACCATATGACAAAAAGATATCGGCGTGGCCGATAATATCGCACGCAACCAACTGAGTAACCCTCGGTGCTGCCGATAACGTCAAATGCAACATCACCACGCAGATTATTGTAACGACATGAAGGACAGTTACAAGGAATCTGCGTGCGCATTTCATGGATTGACCCAGCCGGCTAATAACGATGCCCAACGTAGGCCACACCCACGACAAGTAATCTATATTTTTGCCGCTGACCCAAAAAAAAAGGGGGGACTGGCGCTGCCGCCGCCGTTGCCTGGCAGGGAGGTGAGCAAATTACGATTATGTTCGTATATCTTTTGCGTGGAAGACGCCTAGCACGCGTCCCTGGAGATCTTCCAACTCGTAGGCGTTGGTTCCCACGGCTCGGACGACGCGGCTCTTCAAGAATTTCCGGGCGAACTTGGCATTGAAGGCTTTGCCGAAGCTGCTTAGTGCGAAGTTGCGCCTCCACACTTCCTGTCCCGGTTCCAAATGGAGCTGTCGCGCGCGGTGGTCGTACCGTTGGCGACTTCGCTCGTATGCGGTGTGCAGGTGGTCCTTGACTTGGCTTCGGATTACAGCCAGTCTGTCCTTTGCGTCAAGGTCAGAAATACTGTGGTCGGCCAATGATCTCAGCTTCCTGGCCAGTTTGTAACTGGAACCATTCAGGTACATCTGCTGTCCAAAGACCGCGAAGAACGGAGTGACTCCCGTAGCGCTGTGGACCGCATTCCGGATCGCCACTTCCACCTCTGGTGGGTACGCGTCCCATTCCCGATGATCCTGACCCAGGTAGGTTCTGATTGCCGACAGCACTGTGCGGTTCACGCGTTCGGCGGCGTTGCTCTGAGGCGAATACACTGGTGTGCGCAGGTGAGTAATGCCAAACGCCTGGACCATCGCATCGAACGACTTTGGCACGAATTGTCGTCCATTATCCGAATGGATCACTTCCGGCACGCCAAATTTGAAGAACACCTCATGCACTAGGAAGTTCACGACATCCGCCGCGGTGGCTTCCCTCATGGCCTTCAGGAAGGTAAACTTCGAGAAGTGGTCTACGACGACGAATATCCACGCATGCCCTCGTTTCGACCGTGGATACTTCCCCAAGAAGTCGATATACAGCTTCTGGAAGGGGCGGTCGGTGCGCACTTCTTCCCCAATTCCGACCTGCATTCGGTAGTTCTGTGCCTTGGTCTCCTTGCATGTATCGCATTTCCGAACATAGTCCCTGACTTGTATGGCCATGTTGGGCCAATAATATCGCCTGCGCAGCGCGTGCAGCGTTTTCCTCATGCCTCCATGAGCTGACGTCTCGTCCGCGTGTGCTTGTTGGATGAGTCCTGCCGTCAGCGACTCCAGCACCCATAGCTTCCAACTTGTGCCTTCGACCTCATCCTCCAAGCTCTCGTGCACGGTCCTCTTGAACAGAAGTCCGTCCTGCACTCTAAGGTCCGGCAACTTCCCTTGTTGGCTCATCACCTCTTTTATCAGCTCTCGATATTCGGTGCTCTCGAACTCCGGGGTCTGAAATCCCAACAGATCTTCCGGGGTCAGTTCGACTTCTTCCACGCTTCGGGACAATGTGTCTGCGACGACGTTGTCGGCTCCCTTGCGGTACTGCATGGAGAAAGGGAACGCTTGCAGTTCTAGGGACCACCTGGCTAATCTCCCGCTCAAGTCTTTGAGACTCATAAGCCACTGCAGACTCGCATGATCGGTGATTACCGTGAACGGCATCATCTCCACGTACGGCCGGAATCGATGTATGGCCAGTTTGGCGGCTAGGCATTCCTTCTCGGTCACCGAATAGTTGATCTGGTGCTTATTGAGTTTGGCCGAGAAGAATGCGATCGGCCTTTCCTGTTGTTCGTCGTCTAGCTGGAACAACACGGCTCCTACTCCGTAGTGAGATGCGTCGCATTGGATGAAGAATGGTCTTCGAAAATCCGCGTGAACTAACACCGGGGCTGTGGTGAGGGCTAACTTCAAGCTTTCTATGGCTTCTATGGCCTCGTCGCTCAACACAAATCTACCCGCTCTCTTCTTAAGGGCATCAGTCAACGGTACCGATATCTCGGCGAAGTTCTTTATGAATCGGCGATACCACCCCGCCGTACCTAAGAAGCTTCGTAGTTCTTTGACCGTCCTCGGATTCGGGATGTTCCGGATCGCTTCTACTCTTCCCGGATCCATGCGCAGCGTCCCGCCGCCTATGATGAAACCCAGGTAGTTTAGGTTGCGGAAGCAGAATTTTGACTTCGCCATGCCTATGGTGAGGTTCGCGTTCCTCAGACACTCGGCCACCAATTCCAAGTATATTAAGTGCGTTGGAAAATCTGCCGATATTATCAGCAAGTCGTCTAGGTATACGAATACGTTGGACCTCAGATTCGCCGGGATTACCTTGTCCATGAGCCTGCAAAGTTGTTGAGCGGCGTTGCAGAGCCCGAATGGCATGTGGCGGAACTGGTACAGCGGCCTCCCTGGTACAGTAAACGCCGTATACGCCCTGCTCTTCTCCTCCATCTCGATTTGCCAGAACGCGAACTTAAGGTCGACGCTAGAGATAAAATGAGTCTCGTCGATTCGCGATAGGATGCCCTCGATGCATGGAAGCGGGTAAGCGTCTTTTACCGTCACACTGTTTAATTTCCTGGCGTCTAAGCAAAACTTGTTCTTCCCAGGCCTCATCACCACCGTCGTCCGGTTGCTCCAGGGGCTGTCACTCTCCTCGATGATGCCCAACTTTAGCATTTTATCCACCTCGGCCCACACGATCTCCTGTTTGGCCGGGGACAGCGGATAATGTCTGTCTTTCACGGGTTCTGCTCCCTCGATCAGCTGAATTCGGTGCTGCAGCAGGTGAGTTTTCCCTAGGCCATCCTTCTCAAATTGGAGAAATCTGCGCTTCACGCTTTCCAACTGACTCCTCTGATCGTTGTTCAGGTCCCACATTTCCGGATCCGTCACGCAGTCGTCGTCGTCCCGGTAATAAGCCACCTCTGGGTTCGCTACCGTTACCTCAGATGCCTCTGGTGGTGTTTCGGACTTTCTGGCCGGACCGAGCAGCTCTGGTGCGATCTCGAAGGTATAGTTCCTGTCGCAGGTCCGGGCACATGTAAAATACGATATCTTCCTTTCCCAACGCGACCTAAAATTGGGCGATTGGCACCCGCCGCTGTCCTCACCATCGATTCGTATGGCCGCGCTTCCCATCCCAGTTTCTCCACTAACTCCCGGCATCCTTGTCCCAACAGACTGACTGAGGCCCCCGTGTCCAGCAACCCTTTCATCTTGGCCCCAGCGACCCCAGTGTCCGGCTTTCCACACCTATAGCAGAATATTTTCCGCTCCTTGGACAGGCAGTCTCTAAAGACGTGATCGAACTGTCTGCAGTTCCAGCATACAATTCGGGATGAGTTTCTGCTTCGCACGAAGGCCTCCTCCAGTTCTCCCGGTGGCGTTTCTGTAAGATGCGGTGGTACTTCAACCTCGTGGACTACGGGCCTCGTTCCTTGTGGACAACGCGACGGCTGAAGGTACCCAGTCCGGCTTCTGCGACCCATGTGCCTCTCCACCTCTAGGCACTCTTGGCGCAGCTCATCCACGGTGAGTACGTCCATGGCATAGATATATTTCGCCAGACTTTCTTTTAAACCACGCTTTATAATCTTCACCAGCTCTCGGTCTTTCAGCGGCTTCTCGAATCGCGCGGCGAGTTGACGCATGTGGTGGATATAATCATCCACCCCTTCGCTGGCCTGTTGCTCTCGTTGTAGAAGCTCCTGCATTACATCGTGTTCCGTCTGGTAGCCCCGGAACCTGTCCAAGAGGGCATGCCGCAGTTGCATCCAGCTGTCGACCCTAGAATGCCGCACGTGCATCCAATACCACTCGCGGGCGCGGCCGGTAAGGAGCAGGTGGAAACCGCGCAGGACCTCCTTCCACGGGCATTGATACTGCCTCTGCAGGAACTCTAGGCGGAACACGAAGTCCTCGACCGAATTCATCGCGTCCTCGCCGTCAAACTTGACGTTCCACCGCTCGAGCTTCATGTACGCAGTTTCTCGCACGTTGGCGTACGCCTCCTCCGGTTGAAAATCATCCGCTCCCCGGTCCTCTACTCGGAAATGGCGGTTATTCGGGTTACGCCAGTTCCTCGACTGAGCATCTGCCACGTAAACTGGGCTGCTGGACGAATACTCCGACCCTCGTGCGCCTTGTCTATGGGGCTTCGGTGGCACCGGTGGTGGAAATGCCTCGCGCTGGAACACTTCCCGTTCTTTCGGGATGGCGCCTGTTCGTGGTCCCGGCTCGACATGTCTGGGCGGCTTCGGCGCAGTGTTAGTCTCGGCGGTTTGGCTCCCTGGCGGCCTAAGCACATCAATGATGCCCTTCATCATTTCCATGAAGCCAGCTCGCATCTCCTCGCGGATGGACTCGCTGATGCCAGATGGCAGAGCATGCAGATATGTTTGGTGGGCCTGAGCGATCGCCGCGTTTGCCGCCGATTTGAGCACTGAGTCTTTCGGGGCTTCTGGGAACTCCAGGTTCCGTGGAGGTCTATCCTGTTGCGCCAATTCTTTCTCCAAGTCTACCAGGTGACCCTCTTCCGGGATCTGTCTCTCTGGACATCCCCGGAAATTCATTGGCGTTCGCACCAGCCCTCCAGCTGGGCGCGGCGGTGGCAGAGCCGATGCCCCATCAGCGTCAGAAGCCCAATCAGACACCTGTTCCTCAGCCATACTTATCCCTTCTGAGAACAGTACCCCTCTCTTCTACAAGGCTTACAACCCTTATAAAAACTTTACTAATATTCCTAATAAATTAATAAATAAATAAACACCCACTAACAAATCTTACTAATAAAGAATAATAAATTAATACACATCGACCACAAAAACACTCACAAAATTAAATTTTTTTTCTTTCTAATTAATTTCAAATACTTGGGGGAGAGAAGACAAATCCTAACACAGGCTAAATAATCTACGAATAATCTGGACAGTGGACAACACTTCAGCATTCGTCCCATGCTCAGTTCGTCAGTTTGACTGACGAACGGCATTCAAGGAACGCTACCTTGAAGGCTATTTGGTTTCTGTCGCACTTCTGTGCACCCTTAGGGTATGCTGTGTGACAGGTGCGGCGCAGGATCGTCTCTATATCGTCCTGGGTCACCTGCCTCCGAAGCTCATTTAACTACGGCCAGCACACACCAAACGTTAACACAGAGTGGGACAAAACAAATAGAAAACATTAAACAAACTCTAGTCAGACCTACCCTAATATCACATTTTGTCACAGGTTATTTTGTCATGGCGGCTACCACCAGGCTACGATGGACGGTCGCGAACGTTCACCAACTAGCAAACGTGACTTACCGTCATCAACCGCGACAAGAAAACTCCCCATGTCAATGGACTCCATGGCAAGATCCGTCTCCGTCGCTCTTCTGGCCATTCTTGGGATATGCTGTGTGACAGATGCGGCGCAGGCTCGGCTCTATATCGTCCTGGGTCACCTGTCTCCGAAGCTCGTATAACTACGGCCAGCATACATCCAACATTGACACAAAATGAGACAAAAACTACTAATTGAATAAATAACATCTGACTAAACTACCCTAATATCACATTTTTTTAATCATGAGATGCCTTTGTCGTTGCGGCTACCACCAGGCGAACGATGGATAGTCGCAAATGTTTCGCCAACATGCGAACGGCCATCAACCACTACAAAAAAAACCCCTCATGCTTATGGATGGATATTCAGATAACCTCTACTTCCGTCGTGCTTCTCGGATTCCACTACACGCTGCGCGATTATGAGCTACCTACTCGTGCCACATAAGACTTCAGCGGTGTGGGTCCTGAAGCCAAGGGAGTCATTTCCTCTGTACCTTCATTTTTATCGTATTTATTTTTCTTTGATTACACACCGACTTCAAAGAAGCCGAGTGCTTCTTCAAATTGGGCGCCATATTGTTACGGAACTGCTTGTTTCTCAGTGGGCCGCGCCGGCTGGCTCATCGGTTTCTCTGGGTGTGGTCCCATCCCTGGCCCGCAGTCCGCACAATCGATAACAACAAAGCTACACGTCTGTAGCAAAACAGACTCACACAACACTACTCAAAATGAACCGCATAATCGATAACAAATATTCGGAAATACTAACTCATGAACAAAATACACAGCTGTAACAACTATGAAAATGTAAACAACAAAGGTAAGACACTCAATATAAATTAACAAAAAAACACTATTTATCCACCTTACTCTTCCAGATCGGGCCCTGGTTCCGGACCCAGCGTACCCGCCCTACCATGAGACGATCACCTCCACTCGTCTCCCTCATTTTGGCCACTAAATGGCCTATATTAGCCCGTGTCGGCCATAATGCCCACTCTCCCCAACAATATTATTTTAGCCGGACATGATTTCTTTCACTAGGTGCGTATAATTGGTTGCGTTTTCTTAAAATGTATAACAATTATAATCATTGCTTATGGCATTTATCTTGCAGCTGTTTAGGATCTCATGCAAGCGGATAATTCATTAACTTCACAGGTGCGTATAATGGTTTGTGTATTCTTATAATTATTGGCATTAATATTTCTTTTATTTCTTTCCAATTCGCACGAGGTCTCTATTCAGGTAAATTCGTATTCATGCACGTGAACATTTCTTCTCCAGGTGCGTATTACTGTTGCATATATTTATACTAATTGACAAAGTGCATTAATTCCTAAATTTTTCTCTTATCTTATAGAATTAATTTTTTTATTTTTTTACAACACTGAATGGAACAGGCGACGAAATACTACAAGGATATTGCTAGTCGCCGCAATAGAAACGCGCAAGGAGGCACTTTAGAGGCAATCGTTGCGCCGATTTAGGAACAATGGCCCACACAATTACTTAAAACTGGGTATGTCACGTATTATGTATTGTATGTATTAAATCGCTTAATTCTACCTTACCCTACCTAAAGAGCTCTCTGGGGGTGGTAAGGGGCGATATAAATGCGTAAATTCAAATTAGGTAAGTATGTGAGCATAGTTCGCGCAAGTGTTAATTTTAGATTTTTATATTTTACAGGCGCAGATGCATCACCTTTGGAGTTTCCCTCACCGTTCGCACTCTAAAGTGAAGCTCGGCGTAAGTGCCTATGTATGTATAAATATATTTTATAACTACAAATTAACTAAATTTACGATAAAAAAAAAATCTACTCCTCTTCAGGGAGTGCAATTAGGAGTCTTCTTCTGACTCTGCCAGGGGCTCGAACGAGGATGGGCAAAAAAATGGAACGGACTCACTCGGTGGATGTGGGCGGGGTCTCGCCTGTGGCCGCTTCTTCGTCGTTGGAGCCCGGTCGTTGGTGGCTCGTCTCGTCGCCTTCAGGTTTGCGCCGACGCTTGCTGGCGGCGTCGCGGATATGGCTGGTTTGCGCCGCTGAACTGAATCCTGGCCTTTGAATGTTTCGTGGGCCTCTCTGGTGCGCGAGCTGGTCTCCTTGGTGCCGGAGCCGTTAATTTTTGGCTTATTTGGTTCGTCTCTCGTCGCACTTAAGTTTTAAGTCTCTTTTAATTTTTTATTATATTTTTTTTGTGACTCGAGCGGTTTGATTTAGATATATTTATTAAATGGCAAAAAAAACACAAAACCAAAACTTTTATTTGTCTGTTAAGTCATTTGTATTACGCGCCGGCTTAATTTGCAGAAGGGAAAAAAATTCGAGTCTTTTGAGCAGATATGCAATATACAACTTTTATGCTCACTTCGAGCTGGCACGTCCGCCGTTAACCGCTGAACAAATCGCACTCCCTCCATTTTGGGCAGCCACACCATCGGTGCCGAATTTCGGCACACGCATACATTTGCGAGGCGGGCACCGTTGCTGCTCATCTGCACAGCTGCATTTTTTTGGGTCAACGGCCCAAATGAAGGCCAAGGGCATATCCAAGGGCATGCGATCCACTCTCCTCATATTCTCTTTAAGAGCGAACCGGGCGGCCAATAGCAATCGTCGCTTTTGGCGCCGTGGATCGCATGTCTGGCGTTGCCACCCTTCAAAAATTTGGGCTCCGCCGTGGGCCCAGCTTCACCCCGCATACTCCGACCATATGACAAAAAGATATCGGCGTGGCCGATAATATCGCACGCAACCAACTGAGTAACCCTCGGTGCTGCCGATAACGTCAAATGCAACATCACCACGCAGATTATTGTAACGACATGAAGGACAGTTACAAGGAATCTGCGTGCGCATTTCATGGATTGACCCAGCCGGCTAATAACGATGCCCAACGTAGGCCACACCCACGACAAGTAATCTATATTTTTGCCGCTGACCCAAAAAAAAAGGGGGGACTGGCGCTGCCGCCGCCGTTGCCTGGCAGGGAGGTGAGCAAATTACGATTATGTTCGTATATCTTTTGCGTGGAAGACGCCTAGCACGCGTCCCTGGAGATCTTCCAACTCGTAGGCGTTGGTTCCCACGGCTCGGACGACGCGGCTCTTCAAGAATTTCCGGGCGAACTTGGCATTGAAGGCTTTGCCGAAGCTGCTTAGTGCGAAGTTGCGCCTCCACACTTCCTGTCCTGGTTCCAAATGGAGCTGTCGCGCGCGGTGGTCGTACCGTTGGCGACTTCGCTCGTATGCGGTGTGCAGGTGGTCCTTGACTTGGCTTCGGATTACAGCCAGTCTGTCCTTTGCGTCAAGGTCAGAAATACTGTGGTCGGCCAATGATCTCAGCTTCCTGGCCAGTTTGTAACTGGAACCATTCAGGTACATCTGCTGTCCAAAGACCGCGAAGAACGGAGTGACTCCCGTAGCGCTGTGGACCGCATTCCGGATCGCCACTTCCACCTCTGGTGGGTACGCGTCCCATTCCCGATGATCCTGACCCAGGTAGGTTCTGATTGCCGACAGCACTGTGCGGTTCACGCGTTCGGCGGCGTTGCTCTGAGGCGAATACACTGGTGTGCGCAGGTGAGTAATGCCAAACGCCTGGACCATCGCATCGAACGACTTTGGCACGAATTGTCGTCCATTATCCGAATGGATCACTTCCGGCACGCCAAATTTGAAGAACACCTCATGCACTAGGAAGTTCACGACATCCGCCGCGGTGGCTTCCCTCATGGCCTTCAGGAAGGTAAACTTCGAGAAGTGGTCTACGACGACGAATATCCACGCATGCCCTCGTTTCGACCGTGGATACTTCCCCAAGAAGTCGATATACAGCTTCTGGAAGGGGCGGTCGGTGCGCACTTCTTCCCCAATTCCGACCTGCATTCGGTAGTTCTGTGCCTTGGTCTCCTTGCATGTATCGCATTTCCGAACATAGTCCCTGACTTGTATGGCCATGTTGGGCCAATAATATCGCCTGCGCAGCGCGTGCAGCGTTTTCCTCATGCCTCCATGAGCTGACGTCTCGTCCGCGTGTGCTTGTTGGATGAGTCCTGCCGTCAGCGACTCCAGCACCCATAGCTTCCAACTTGTGCCTTCGACCTCATCCTCCAAGCTCTCGTGCACGGTCCTCTTGAACAGAAGTCCGTCCTGCACTCTAAGGTCCGGCAACTTCCCTTGTTGGCTCATCACCTCTTTTATCAGCTCTCGATATTCGGTGCTCTCGAACTCCGGGGTCTGAAATCCCAACAGATCTTCCGGGGTCAGTTCGACCTCTTCCACGCTTCGGGACAATGTGTCTGCGACGACGTTGTCGGCTCCCTTGCGGTACTGCATGGAGAAAGGGAACGCTTGCAGTTCTAGGGACCACCTGGCTAATCTCCCGCTCAAGTCTTTGAGACTCATAAGCCACTGCAGACTCGCATGATCGGTGATTACCGTGAACGGCATCATCTCCACGTACGGCCGGAATCGATGTATGGCCAGTTTGGCGGCTAGGCATTCCTTCTCGGTCACCGAATAGTTGATCTGGTGCTTGTTGAGTTTGGCCGAGAAGAATGCGATCGGCCTTTCCTGTTGTTCGTCGTCTAGCTGGAACAACACGGCTCCTACTCCGTAGTGAGATGCGTCGCATTGGATGAAGAATGGTCTTCGAAAATCCGCGTGAACTAACACCGGGGCTGTGGTGAGGGCTAACTTCAAGCTTTCTATGGCTTCTATGGCCTCGTCGCTCAACACAAATCTACCCGCTCTCTTCTTAAGGGCATCAGTCAACGGTACCGATATCTCGGCGAAGTTCTTTATGAATCGGCGATACCACCCCGCCGTACCTAAGAAGCTTCGTAGTTCTTTGACCGTCCTCGGATTCGGGATGTTCCGGATCGCTTCTACTCTTCCCGGATCCATGCGCAGCGTCCCGCCGCCTATGATGAAACCCAGGTAGTTTAGGTTGCGGAAGCAGAATGTTGACTTCGCCATGCCTATGGTGAGGTTCGCGTTCCTCAGACACTCGGCCACCAATTCCAAGTATTTTAAGTGCGTTGGAAAATCTGCCAATATTATCAGCAAGTCGTCTAGGTATACGAATACGTTGGACCTCAGATTCGCCGGGATTGCCTGCAAAGTTGTTGAGCGGCGTTGCAGAGCCCGAATGGCATGTGGCGGAACTGGTACAGCGGCCTCCCTGGTACAGTAAACGCCGTATACGCCCTGCTCTTCTCCTCCATCTCGATTTGCCAGAACGCGAACTTAAGGTCGACGCTAGAGATAAAATGAGTCTCGTCGATTCGCGATAGGATGCCCTCGATGCATGGAAGCGGGTAAGCGTCTTTTACCGTCACACTGTTTAATTTCCTGGCGTCTAAGCAAAACCTGTTCTTCCCAGGCCTCATCACCACCGTCGTCCGGTTGCTCCAGGGGCTGTCACTCTCCTCGATGATGCCCAACTTTAGCATTTTATCCACCTCGGCCCACACGATCTCCTGTTTGGCCGGGGACAGCGGATAATGTCTGTCTTTCACGGGTTCTGCTCCCTCGATCAGCTGAATTCGGTGCTGCAGCAGGTGAGTTTTCCCTAGGCCATCCTTCTCAAATTGGAGAAATCTGCGCTTCACGCTTTCCAACTGACTCCTCTGATCGTTGTCCAGGTCCCACATTTCCGGATCCGTCACGCAGTCGTCGTCGTCCCGGTAATAAGCCACCTCTGGGTTCGCTACCGTTACCTCAGATGCCTCTGGTGGTGTTTCGGACTTTCTGGCCGGACCGAGCAGCTCTGGTGCGATCTCGAAGGTATAGTTCCTGTCGCAGGTCCGGGCACATGTAAAATACGATATCTTCCTTTCTATTCCCGTATTTCACAGGCAGAACAACGCGACCTAAAATTGGGCGATTGGCACCCGCCGCTGTCCTCACCATCGATTCGTATGGCCGCGCTTCCCATCCCAGTTTCTCCACTAACTCCCGGCATCCTTGTCCCAACAGACTGACTGAGGCCCCCGTGTCCAGCAACCCTTTCATCTTGGCCCCAGCGACCTCCACTTCGGCGAATACTCGTGGGTCTATACTATCCTCCCGTCTCACCGCTTCGACGACCTGGCGCCTGGTAATCCTGCGTCTGCGGAAGCGCGCACGTGCCTTCACCATTCTCCGGGTGGCTAGCGTCATCCCCTCCAGCTGTCGCTCACCAAAAATTCTATTTCGGGCCGACATGTATGCCCGAACACGTTCTTCGTATGGTAAGCCCCTAAGTGTTCCTCCTTTGCTTATACTATTATTATAATTAGCCTTATCCTGATCCTTATTCCAAATCTCCGTCTCCTTTCCAATGATTATTGGCTCTGGTAGGTGCCCCTCTCCTGCTTCCCCGCGGTCGCCGTCCCGGAACGCGTCTGTCCCGCCATCACCGCGCTCCCTCTGGGGTTTCCCGGACAGTTTTCACACTGCGAGCAGAAAGTGTCCGGCTTTCCACACCTATAGCAGAATATTTTCCGCTCCTTGGACAGGCAGTCTTTAAAGACGTGATCGAACTGTCTGCAGTTCCAGCATACAATTCGGGATGAGTTTCTGCTTCGCACGAAGGCCTCCTCCAGTTCTCCCGGTGGCGTTTCTGTAAGATGCGGTGGTACTTCAACCTCGTGGACTACGGGCCTCGTTCCTTGTGGACAACGCGACGGCTGAAGGTACCCAGTCCGGCTTCTGCGACCCATGTGCCTCTCCACCTCTAGGCACTCTTGGCGCAGCTCATCCACGGTGAGTACGTCCATGGCATAGATATATTTCGCCAGACTTTCTTTTAAACCACGCTTTATAATCTTCACCAGCTCTCGGTCTCTCAGCGGCTTCTGGAATCGCGCGGCGAGTTGACGCATGTGGTGGATATAATCATCCACCCCTTCGCTGGCCTGTTGCTCTCGTTGTAGAAGCTCCTGCATTACATCGTGTTCCGTCTGGTAGCCCCGGAACCTGTCCAAGAGGGCATGCCGCAGTTGCATCCAGCTGTCGACCCTAGAATGCCGCACGTGCATCCAATACCACTCGCGGGCGCGGCCGGTCAGGAGCAGGTGGAAACCGCGCAGGACCTCCTTCCACGGGCATTGATACTGCCTCTGCAGGAACTCTAGGCGGAACACGAAGTCCTCGACCGAATTCATCGCGTCCTCGCCGTCAAACTTGACGTTCCACCGCTCGAGCTTCATGTACGCAGTTTCTCGCACGTTGGCGTACGCCTCCTCCGGTTGAAAATCATCCGCTCCCCGGTCCTCTACTCGGAAATGGCGGTTATTCGGGTTACGCCAGTTCCTCGACTGAGCATCTGCCACGTAAACTGGGCTGCTGGACGAATACTCCGACCCTCGTGCGCCTTGTCTATGGGGCTTCGGTGGCACCGGTGGTGGAAATGCCTCGCGCTGGAACACTTCCCGTTCTTTCGGGATGGCGCCTGTTCGTGGTCCCGGCTCGACATGTCTGGGCGGCTTCGGCGCAGTGTTAGTCTCGGCGGTTTGGCTCCCTGGCGGCCTAAGCACATCAATGATGCCCTTCATCATTTCCATGAAGCCAGCTCGCATCTCCTCGCGGATGGACTCGCTGATGCCAGATGGCAGAGCATGCAGATATGTTTGGTGGGCCTGAGCGATCGCCGCGTTTGCCGCCGATTTGAGCACTGAGTCTTTCGGGGCTTCTGGGAACTCCAGGTTTCGTGGAGGTCTATCCTGTTGCGCCAATTCTTTCTCCAAGTCTACCAGGTGACCCTCTTCCGGGATCTGTCTCTCTGGAAATCCCCGGAAATTCATTGGCGTTCGCACCAGCCCTCCAGCTGGGCGCGGCGGTGGCAGAGCCGACGCCCCATCAGCGTCAGAAGCCCAATCAGACACCTGTTCCTCAGCCATACTTATCCCTTCTGAGAACAGTACCCCTCTCTTCTACAAGGCTTACAACCCTTATAAAAACTTTACTAATATTCCTAATAAATTAATAAATAAATAAACACCCACTAACAAATCTTACTAATAAAGAATAATAAATTAATACACATCGACCACAAAAACACTCACAAAATTAAATTTTTTTTCTTTCTAATTAATTTCAAATACTTGGGGGAGAGAAGACAAATCCTAACACAGGCTAAATAATCTACGAATAATCTGGACAGTGGACAACACTTCAGCATTCGTCCCATGCTCAGTTCGTCAGTTTGACTGACGAACGGCATTCAAGGAACGCTACCTTGAAGGCTATTTGGTTTCTGTCGCACTTCTGTGCACCCTTAGGGTATGCTGTGTGACAGGTGCGGCGCAGGATCGTCTCTATATCGTCCTGGGTCACCTGCCTCCGAAGCTCATTTAACTACGGCCAGCACACACCAAACGTTAACACAGAGTGGGACAAAACAAATAGAAAACATTAAACAAACTCTAGTCAGACCTACCCTAATATCACATTTTGTCACAGGTTATTTTGTCATGGCGGCTACCACCAGGCTACGATGGACGGTCGCGAACGTTCACCAACTAGCAAACGTGACTTACCGTCATCAACCGCGACAAGAAAACTCCCCATGTCAATGGACTCCATGGCAAGATCCGTCTCCGTCGCTCTTCTGGCCATTCTTGGGATATGCTGTGTGACAGATGCGGCGCAGGCTCGGCTCTATATCGTCCTGGGTCACCTGTCTCCGAAGCTCGTATAACTACGGCCAGCATACATCCAACATTGACACAAAATGAGACAAAAACTACTAATTGAATAAATAACATCTGACTAAACTACCCTAATATCACATTTTTTTAATCATGAGATGCCTTTGTCGTTGCGGCTACCACCAGGCGAACGATGGATAGTCGCAAATGTTTCGCCAACATGCGAACGGCCATCAACCACTACAAAAAAAACCCCTCATGCTTATGGATGGATATTCAGATAACCTCTACTTCCGTCGTGCTTCTCGGATTCCACTACACGCTGCGCGATTATGAGCTACCTACTCGTGCCACATAAGACTTCAGCGGTGTGGGTCCTGAAGCCAAGGGAGTCATTTCCTCTGTACCTTCATTTTTATCGTATTTATTTTTCTTTGATTACACACCGACTTCAAAGAAGCCGAGTGCTTCTTCAAATTGGGCGCCATATTGTTACGGAACTGCTTGTTTCTCAGTGGGCCGCGCCGGCTGGCTCATCGGATTCTCTGGGTGTGGTCCCATCCCTGGCCCGCAGTCCGCACAATCGATAACAACAAAGCTACACGTCTGTAGCAAAACAGACTCACACAACACTACTCAAAATGAACCGCATAATCGATAACAAATATTCGGAAATACTAACTCATGAACAAAATACACAGCTGTAACAACTATGAAAATGTAAACAACAAAGGTAAGACACTCAATATAAATTAACAAAAAAAACACTATTTATCCACCTTACTCTTCCAGATCGGGCCCTGGTTCCGGACCCAGCGTACCCGCCCTACCATGAGACGATCACCTCCACTCGTCTCCCTCATTTTGGCCACTAAATGGCCTATATTAGCCCGTGTCGGCCATAATGCCCACTCTCCCCAACAATATTATTTTAGCCGGACATGATTTCTTTCACTAGGTGCGTATAATTGGTTGCGTTTTCTTAAAATGTATAACAATTATAATCATTGCTTATGGCATTTATCTTGCAGCTGTTTAGGATCTCATGCAAGCGGATAATTCATTAACTTCACAGGTGCGTATAATGGTTTGTGTATTCTTATAATTATTGGCATTAATATTTCTTTTATTTCTTTCCAATTCGCACGAGGTCTCTATTCAGGTAAATTCGTATTCATGCACGTGAACATTTCTTCTCCAGGTGCGTATTACTGTTGCATATATTTATACTAATTGACAAAGTGCATTAATTCCTAAATTTTTCTCTTATCTTATAGAATTAATTTTTTTATTTTTTTACAACACTGAATGGAACAGGCGACGAAATACTACAAGGATATTGCTAGTCGCCGCAATAGAAACGCGCAAGGAGGCACTTTAGAGGCAATCGTTGCGCCTATTTAGGAACAATGGCCCACACAATTACTTAAAACTGGGTATGTCACGTATTATGTATTGTATGTATTAAATCGCTTAATTCTACCTTACCCTACCTAAAGAGCTCTCTGGGGGTGGTAAGGGGCGATATAAATGCGTAAATTCAAATTAGGTAAGTATGTGAGCATAGTTCGCGCAAGTGTTAATTTTAGATTTTTATATTTTACAGGCGCAGATGCATCACCTTTGGAGTTTCCCTCACCGTTCGCACTCTAAAGTGAAGCTCGGCGTAAGTGCCTATGTATGTATAAATATATTTTATAACTACAAATTAACTAAATTTACGATAAAAAAAAATCTACTCCTCTTCAGGGAGTGCAATTAGGAGTCTTCTTCTGACTCTGCCAGGGGCTCGAACGAGGATGGGCAAAAAAATGGAACGGACTCACTCGGTGGATGTGGGCGGGGTCTCGCCTGTGGCCGCTTCTTCGTCGTTGGAGCCCGGTCGTTGGTGGCTCGTCTCGTCGCCTTCAGGTTTGCGCCGACGCTTGCTGGCGGCGTCGCGGATATGGCTGGTTTGCGCCGCTGAACTGAATCCTGGCCTTTGAATGTTTCGTGGGCCTGTCTGGTGCGCGAGCTGGTCTCCTTGGTGCCGGAGCCGTTAATTTTTGGCTTATTTGGTTCGTCTCTCGTCGCACTTAAGTTTTAAGTCTCTTTTAATTTTTTATTATATTTTTTTTGTGACTCGAGCGGTTTGATTTAGATATATTTATTAAATGGCAAAAAAAACACAAAACCAAAACTTTTATTTGTCTGTTAAGTCATTTGTATTACGCGCCGGCTTAATTTGCAGAAGGGAAAAAAATTCGAGTCTTTTGAGCAGATATGCAATATACAACTTTTATGCTCACTTCGAGCTGGCACGTCCGCCGTTAACCGCTGAACAAATCGCACTCCCTCCATTTTGGGCAGCCACACCATCGGTGCCGAATTTCGGCACACGCATACATTTGCGAGGCGGGCACCGTTGCTGCTCATCTGCACAGCTGCATTTTTTTGGGTCAACGGCCCAAATGAAGGCCAAGGGCATATCCAAGGGCATGCGATCCACTCTCCTCATATTCTCTTTAAGAGCGAACCGGGCGGCCAATAGCAATCGTCGCTTTTGGCGCCGTGGATCGCATGTCTGGCGTTGCCACCCTTCAAAAATTTGGGCTCCGCCGTGGGCCCAGCTTCACCCCGCATACTCCGACCATATGACAAAAAGATATCGGCGTGGCCGATAATATCGCACGCAACCAACTGAGTAACCCTCGGTGCTGCCGATAACGTCAAATGCAACAAATACGCTGAGCATTATTTCGCTCTCTTAAAGTATAGCAGCAAGGGTAAATCAAATTATTAGTGATTTGCCTCTTTGAATTGAAAAAGAGCATAAGATCATTTTTTACGGAAGCCAACGTCCAAAACGTTTTAAAGAACGCTAGCTTAGCTGTAGCTAGCAGCAGCACTAGCAAGTCGTGTTACAGTTGTGCAAGCTCACATGGGTTAATGCAGCATATAAGGGCCAGTAACGAGGAGTTGCGATAGCCAACGCTGTATCATATGCAACAAGCTTTATCATGAATTGCTTCATTGTAAAGTTTCGGATAGCGTAGGTGACGGTTTGCATAATAGCCAATCAAAACAAGGGAACAGTTATTTGCATAGCGCAATCTGCAAGTCTCTTTATAATAATTGCAGATGTATATTTGATTCTGAAAGTTAAACTAATTTTCTTACTTCTAGATTAGTTTCGATTTAGTGAAATCGGCAATTCAACATATCAGATTATTGGTGAGGTGAATCCCACTTTCAAATCTAAAGTGACAAACTGTGCAGCTATTTTTGGGTGTTAACCGAAACTACGCTACATAATCCGACAAGTTCTCCTCTAGGTTTGAATTGGCCACCAACATGGGAGCAGCAGGTCAAATCAAACTAGGACAAAAATTGCCTACCCTAAGGAAATCGCTATTAGTCTGGATAGTCGTTGGAGAGCTTACACCCACCACTAACGTGTTGCTGCTAGCCAAGGAAAGGGAGCAGAATATGCTGAACTCTAATGGGCTGCAAAAGCAAGTGCAACGGTATTGGAAATGCAAGGAAACGCAGCAGCCTGTTAAGAAATTCACTGAAGAGGAAAAACAATGTGAAAGCAGCTTCGTTTCTAATGCTAGACAATCTGAAGAAGGCCATTTAACTGTCGCACTATCATTTAGAAACCCCAAACAAGTATTATACTAGCGGATACATAGCAGATTGCCCTTACTAGATTTTTAAATTAAGAAAAGAAGTTGAATCGCAATGCTTCTCTAAATAAAGAGTATTCTGAATTTATTGAAGAAGACAAAAATTTGGGCCATTTGGAAAAAGTAGAGGCTGCTAGGGTAAAGGACATCATGTACTTTATGCCGCATCATCCAGTGCTCAGGCCGGAAAGTCTGACGTGCAATTCAAAAAACGGCGTCTCACTAAACGATGTTATGCTTATTGGGCCGACCTTGCAGCCCGATCCTTTTCAGACGATGACTAGATTGCGCTTTTATAGGTTCGACCTCACAGACGCCGTTAGAGCTTATCAGGTTAAAGTTGCACAAATGGCGTAAATGCCGTGAAGCCCTTAGCATCGCGCACGAACCAGAGCCTTTAATGCTTGAAACTGAAGATGCAGCTAAAGCCCTTGGAAGAGGTTGGGTGAGTCAAAGTGACCAATTTCAGTTCTCGTTTAATGGTTAATGGTCCACAATTATGAAGCGAACAGTGTTCTATGGTTGCTGTAGCACGACTGGGATAAAGATTGTTGGTTGTTGGTTTCCATAACGTTTGAGGTGGACTCATTAAAGCTGTTCGGGCTCTCTGACATTACAATTGTGGTCAGCTGGTTGCCATCGCATGCAAGACGATGTGGCCAACCGGGTGGCTGAAATTGTATTCAAGGAATTGTATCAAACGAACTTGAACTATGCAACCTTATGGTGGCAGGGCCCTGGTTTCCTGAGCCATCCAGTAGATGATGGGCTGACGCGCAATGGCGCTGCAGCGACGAAGCAATACCTGAACAAAGGAAGGGTACAAAGGAGACTTACGATGTTATCGGGGAATGTAAATTAACAAACGACTTTTTGAAACTTCAGCACATGTTTAGCTACGTTTATAGGTGGCGTAGAGTTTGAAGACGCGAGCATCATCAGTTTGACCTTACTGTAGACGAAATGGGTGGAGGCCTTCGCTATATAATTTAGAATTTACAAAGTTTAATACGGCGTGAGAAATTCAAAAGATTAAAAGTTAAAAAGCCATTAAAGCTGCAAAAAATTAATAGTTAAATCTGATTAATTCGAGAAGAGGAAGAAATTCTACGAATTATATGAAGGATGATACGCGTAGGTAGGCGATTGCTAAAGGCCTATTTACAAATAACAATCTTATTTTAATGCCTAAAGATCATACTGTCATGAATGTACTAAATAAATTCACTCATTGATTCCATTTACATGGCGGAGATCAATTGTTATGCGCCTTGTGAAAGAAATATTGGATTATCAATTGCAGAAAACTTCCTCGGAATGCGTTACGATCTTGCATTATCTGCTTCTTGCATATGAGCTTCGGGAAGCTCAATGAATGAGGAAAACTGAGTACCTCACAGGAACGCTCAAAATGGAGGACAACTGTAGCCGCATACTGATCGGCAGTCTAGTTCTGATCGCCGAAGCCAACGCACCGCCTGGACAATGGTTACTAGGAAGAGTGTCAGAACTACATCCCAGATGCGATGCCGCAGTGCCCGACGTGACTCTCAAGACCAAGAGGAGGTTTCTCAAGCGAAATGTACATAGAATCTGCCCCTTGCCACGGGAGTCAACAATAGATTATGTTTTAAAAGGAGCTTCCAAGCATAAGTACGCGCCACAAGTTAATATATAGCATTTAGTAATCTATTTAGATGTCAGCGCTCTTTAGAATTTTTGCTTACATTTCTTGAAATGTGTGCTTGAATAGCTATCGTTATTGTCGATCGATATATTGTACTTTGAACTGTAATCAGTCATTCTGTATAATAAAAGAGATAAAGCGGAGCTGATATGCATTTGTGCTGGGAAGGAGGATTGTCCGCATAATTACTTATTTAGAGCTCATGTTAAAAAATGTGTTAGGAACATTTTACCATGCCACCCCACAAGAGTACATTAAACGGTCTAGACTCAACTCAACTCTAATGAAGATAATGAGGTGCATTAAAACAAAAATAAGGTAAAGAACTTCGACGAACTACTCGAATTGGCAGTGTGTGTATACAATATTAGTGTTCATTGTACCACAGGTAAAAACCCTCTAAGAACTTTGGTGAAGCAGACTTCGAAAAAACTAGAAACAATAATAATGGAGAACTCATAATAAACATCAGCGGGACTTTGATTTTCATAACAAAAGAGTAGAGTAAAATCACTTTTGGTGGCTCCATTTACCCAAGTTGCTCAAAAAATAGGATTTCGAAATCGTTTTTTACCAATTGCTTGGAAATAGAGATAGTTGTCGATTATCGGAAACAAACTCGATCTGTGCATGGACTAGGAGGACCTACAGCTAAAAATTCTCTAGTCTCTAGCTCTTATAGTTTCTAAGATCCTTGCGTTCATGCATTCGGACGGACGGACAGACGGAATATATACATCAAGAATATATTACGTTATACATACATACAGTGCAGGGCAATTAAGTAACATGATGCCATTTGGGCAGGACAAGACAGCGTGAAACCGTTGATCGACGGCTAACCGCTGATCTTGCACTTCAGGCGTTCCGAGAGTAAGCGCACTTGTATATGAGTACACCCGCTCTCTCTCTCTCTCTCTCTCTCTCTCACTCTCTCTCTCTCTCTCTCTCTCTCTCTCTCTCTCTCACTCTCTCTCTCTCTCTCTCTCTCTCTCTCTCTCTCTCTCTCTTTGTAGCTGTTAACCGATAACAGCATAAGCATATATGTACATGTATCCACAGGCTAAGTACATTATATTGACTTTGAAAAAATTCATTCAATAGAACCAAGTATATCAGCATTGTCGTGCTTTCGTTTGATTACAAATATATAATTACATAAGGACTAAGATGTCTAAA